TACTTGTCCCTGGTGTCCTGGATTACTTGTCCCTGGTGTCCTGGATTGCTTGTGCAGTGACATGACCAATACACCACACTCTCCATCCTAATTCTCGTCTCATACTTGGGTATCTCTTTTGTATCTTTTCCAATGCCTCTATATCCTTTCTAAATGATGGAGACTGAACTGAAGTGTTATCTAACAATATTACTATATAAGCTAGTTATACTTTACTGATTTTCAATTCCAATCTCTCTAGGAATGAACCTGAGTGCTTGGTTTGTTTTTTCTTAGTAAACATGTCTCGCGACTTTTTGAGATTTGCACATCAATGCCTCTCGATCTTTATGCTCTTCTCTCCAATTTATACATTTGTTGTCCAAATGATACTTGATGTCTTTATTCCTCCGACCACCTTCTCACTTAACCAAACTAAAATTCACTTGCCAATTAGATATCCATCCAGCAAGGTTATTGTGTTTTGTCACGTCCTTCCTTAGTTGTCCTCAGTGGCAGGGTGGCACAGTGGTCAGCATTGTTGTCTCACAGCCGTAGGGACCCACATTTGATTCCAGCCTCAGGCCTCTGTGTGGAGTTTGCACGTTTGCTCTGTGTCTGTGTGGGTTTCCCCTGGGTGCTCCAGTTTCCTCCCACAGTCTAAAGATGTGCAGGTTAGGTGGATTGGCCATGCTTAAATTGCCCATAGTGTTCAGGGAAGCACAGGCTAGGTGGAAATGCAGCGTTACAGCACTTCGGAGGGTTGGTGTGGACTCAATGGGCTGAATGGCCTGCTTCCATAGTGTTGTGATTCTATGATTAACTGCACCCTACAAAGAGTGAGCAATAACGTTCCCAGCACTGGCCCCTGTGGAGCCCTGTTTGTGAGGGTGTGTAGCTGACTTTAATACTTACACTCTAACCTCCATGTAGAGGTTAGGAGGCTGTCTATTCTGCTACCCGTCCCCAAGTCCACACGTCTGACATTAATTATTGGTCTACAAATTGATACTGGACCATAGGCTTTCTCATAATCAGGGCTGTAATTGAGGGACCATAGCCACATGCCCCTTCTTACAAGACAGCACGGTACTATAACAGTCATATTATAAGACAAATAATTTAAGTACCTGGGTTAACAAACTTTTTTACTCCTTCTTCCATCTTTTCGTTTCTTCTTCTGTTGGCTTGTTTGAGTTTGCTTGGAGCCACCACACTGCTGGCTGATTACTCTTCTCCATCTCCTCCTCTCAGTCACCCATTCCTCATCTAATCCCACTGTATTTAAGTCTGTTATCACTGCAATGTTTCTCTCTGTTCTGCACCTTCCTTTTCTCTTTCTTGCTGGTAGCTCTATCTCTATCACTTGCCTCACCATATTGCCCCTCTCCCTAGAACAAATGACCATGTCATTTTGATCTTTTCTCAAGTTACTTTCTCCGACATCCTGATAACCTTTATTCACCCCGGATATAATGATTTCTGATATTGGCCCTTCTCATTACTACATTCATCTCAGTATCTACAGCTTACTTGTGGTCCAGTCATTCTTCCTCTGTTCTTCAGGCTACTGAATGATGTAACAAGGCTAGAGTTTAACCAAATCCCACAATTTTGAGTTCAGTTTAAAATAACATTGAGAAATGAGACACAAGTGAATTTCAGAATAAGTTGGTTAGTGACTTTGGATTCAGAGAGGGAGTAAATTTTTCACACAAAGGATTACGAATCTTTGAAAATCTTTGCCTCAGAGGAGTGTGGATGTTTAGTTGCTGAATATAGAATACATACTAATGGACTTTTGGATATTGGGCTGGTACAGAAGTTATGGTAGAGATAGATCAATCATGACCTTGGTGAATGACAAAATAGTCTGAAAGCACCACATGTTTCATATTCTATTTCTTATGTTCCCTGTTCCAAACAGCTTCTATCAGCTAAAATTGGTCAGGAAACTGTGGAATTATATTAGAAACCCCACTGGCTGACGAATGCCCTTTAAGGAAGGAAATCCAGTGTCTGGCCGACTGAGCTCCACGTCAGTGTGGTCGACTGTTACACATCCTCTGAAGTAGCCTAACATGCCATTCAATTAAATCAATATAGTATTTCAAGTTTTACCTCTTGTTTTGCATCAAACAGAGGGTGTTAAAATTTCCAGTTTGATGTATTGCAGATCTTACGTAAAATACATAAATTTCTGGTAACATTTTTAAGTGAAAAAATGATGTCACAAGTTTATCTCATGTAGATAAAAGAATCACTTACAATCCCTACAGTGGGGAAAGAGGCCATTCGGCCCATCAAATCTGCACCAACCTTCCAAAGACCATGCCACTCAGACCCACACCCTACTCTATCCCTGCATTTCCCATGGCTAATCCGCCTAGCGTGCACATACCCGGAGACTATGGGGAAATTTAATATGGCCAATCCACTTAACCTGCAGCTCTTTGACTGTGGGAGGAAATGGAGCACCCAGAGGAAACCCACAGGGAGAATGTGAAAACTGCATCCAGTCACTCAAGGCTGAAATCGAACCCGGGTCCCTGGCCCTGTGAGGCATCAGTGCTACCCACTGACTGTGTGTCTGTATTGTCAATTGATTGATTACATAAATATGTAGCAGTAATGCCAAAGCAACCTTTTCATTTTATTGGTAATCAATGTGTTACAATCCAGAGCAACGTATCAAATGTCAACCAGCTGAGACTGGGGTATTTCAAGTTCATTATAATTAATCCTTGAGAAATATATTGAATGGTTAATGTTGATCATGTTATTATGTGAGCTTTTGAAATGGATGATGGTAAGTTGGTAGTTCGTTTTACTTTGTTTATTAAATTGGAAGTCAACTGCAAATAGAAATGAGTACAGCAGTAAAATGGGTAACTGATTTCAAGACAACAAGGTGCAGAGCTGGATGAACACAGCAGGCCAAGCAGCATCATAGGAGCAGAAAGGCTGACGTTTCGGGCCTAGACCCTTCATCAGAAAAGGGGGAGGGGAAGGGGGTTCTGAAATAAATAGGGAGAGAGTGGGAGGCAGATAGAAGAGGGATAGAGGAGAGGATAGGTGGAGAGGAAACAAACAGGTCGAAGAGGCGGGGCTGGAGCCAGTAAAGGTGAGTGTAGGCAGGGAGTTAGGAAGGGGATAGGTCAG